GGGCTGTAGTTTTGAAATGGACTTTATGTTTTGAGGAATGTCATTCCATGCTTTAGTATAAACATAGAAGATTTGGTTGATTTGGGCAGCAATGCACAGAGAGTTCCATAATTGGCACCTTGGAAGATCTGAAAATATAAATTAATACCACTAAACAAAACATAATTCTAAAAAGTCAAGGCAACAGACAATGAAAGAACTGTACAGTGATGAGTCCAACCAGGAAGTTTTTTATGAATTTTGTACGCCCTGTTGTAGAGCCTGACTATGGGTTCTAAGATTTACATACAAATAAGCTTCATTGCTCATGTGGAACCAGAACGACTAATTTATTAGTGTGAATTCTGTTTTCCAGTTTTTCTACTTCTGTGTACTTTTTACTATGTTAGCCATTCTTATATCAAAACAGCTCATTCAGGAGATTTTATTTTTGCAACTTTGTCACAATATTTACCTTCATTTACAAATATTTTCTACAYAGATTGGGATCTCTGTCTTTAAGAATAAGTTGGTGCTTCTAAAAACCGATCTAAGTTTGAGCCTGGATGGCTGGATTTCAGCTGGACTAACCCTTTTTGAAGCGCAGCTGTGCCATATCATAACGCCCGTAGTCCCTGAGCAGCATCACCCCTCCTGGTTTCAGCAGGTGTGCTAATCTCCTGATGGACAAACGCATCCTGAAACAAAAGGAAAGCTTTAACACAAGGTCTRTAGCTGCTGATTCTAAATGAAAGGCAGAGTAAGAAAAAGGTTTAAACAAGGCAAAAATRAGAGTTCATACTTGTCCGGATGCAGTGCCGAGAGCACAAAGATTAACACGATAACATCTAGAGTCCCATCAGGGACGGGGTAATTGGCTTCGGYGTCACTCAAGTCGTGAACAAAGGCAAAGCAGCGCTCGGAGTCGTACTCCGGATTAGTCTGACRAGGAGAAATGTTCAGTTTTCATTAGTTAGCTCACAAGCCTTCAGCTCAGAACTRTTCKTTAACAACTCCAAATACGTCACCTTTACTAACTCAACAGCGGTGCCGGAGAAATCGCAGCAGTAAATGAAGAGTCCTGGATCGCTGCAATAACCAAAGGTGCAGTTATAGTATCAGACTATAAAAGGCTGCTTTTTAAAAACACCCCAAAACCCATAAATATCAGCACTCATGTGTTCTTACTTATTGGTCTTCAGTATGGGGAAAACTGTGTTTCCTACACCGCAGCCAACCTGTAGATCAGGTAATAAACTAATGATCATTATAGCATTTCAGGCGTTATCAGCTCTCAGCACACGGGAGTAAATTTTATAGAAAATGAACCTTTCCAGATGCAACAAATGCATATTTCTGAATATGCTTGTGATACAAATGTTTCCAGCTCGTTACCTCTAAAATGCGATACGTGGCAGAGGAGCCAGGAAAGTCGCCGCTCTCAGGAGACAAAGATTCCCCGCTTTGTTYTCGATCAGGACCGTTCTGCTGGCAGCCGTTTGCGCCCGAGGCACTTGGACTCGATTCTGGGTTTAGGCTGCACTGTGGGGCCAACTCCGGGAACTCGGTGAAGAGCCAGTGTCGGTCTTTGAAGAAACGATTCTCGTGTATCGTGTAGAACTCATTCCAGTATTCATTGGCCCGGCTGTCGTATTCCTCTGTTCGGAAGGACAGGAGAAAATAATTGAAGKTTTTGTGCAATATGGATCGTGACTTGCACTTTTTTTTTATATATCAAATTTTGAGATGAGTGTACACTGCTACAACCCAACCTTGCTTGTCTGCAGGCAGTGGCTGATTGTTTTCTGATACTTTCTTCTTTGCAGCTTCTTCTTGCTCATCAGTCCACTCCACATTGTCCCTGGGAAAAAACAACATCATTGTTATCCAGAGTTAACAAAAACAATAACACTGCAGAAAGCAAAGACAAATGTTTTATTGTGTTAATTTTCTCCCCCTATTGACATGGGCAAATGTAAAAAAAAAAAATATCTACAAAATTAATGAACTAAAGTGAATGATAAATAACCATCTACTTCGTAAACAAAATATAAACATAAAATAAATTGCACTCGCTGTACAATTATTTTATTAACTGACAGCGTAACAAATGCCCAACTAATTTAATATTAAATTAGTTTTATAATATTAAAAAAGAAAATTGTCTTAAACAAACGAAAATAAAATACTTATTTAGTGACAAGAGTAAAGTAGCTTTGCTAAAACAGTTAGCTCTTTGAAAAACTTCATGCTAATTTCACGTCTCCGACCCGGTTCTGGTGTCTGTTACCGACCAAGCGTTGTGCTGGAAGACTTGTCGCGGGTCTGTAAGGAACCGAGTCCCGAACTGAGGTCTCTTCGGGTCCCCTGGTGACAGAATCAGCCCGGTGTCGCCGCAGCTTTCACCCGCTCCGTCCACCGCACGGGGCGCCGCCATGTTGGATGTGACGCGACGCAAAAAGAGGCGGGCCTTAAGCGGTGATGCGTTCAGGGACAGGCGGAAAACACGCATCTATAAAGACCTAAGTGTTTTATTATTATCTGTCACACTCAGACATTGATTTAGACTTAGAGTAAAACAAWTATACATACGCCATTTTAACTTCAAAATAAATTCAAATTGCATTTACTTGAACAGATGCATCTTTAACCATTTGACAAACTTTATTATATGTTGCAGCGTTTGAACACTAGAGGGAGACACATATTAGGATTATTTTTACAGTCACTCAAAAGCAGCGCAATTAAAAAGTACACGCAGAGATGCTTGTGCATGTAAGTTCATTCTTATAAATTAAACAAACACATTTTATCCCTCCTAATTCATGCAAATATCTTTTAAATCCGTTTATACATTTTATAGGYTTTTTGTGATTATTTGATCTACTTTGAAAGCATTAACATGAACTTTTAAGAGCCAAAAGGTTTTATTTCTAACAAAGAGGAGCAGCTTTAGCAGTTAAACAACCATAATCAAAGCTCCGAATAGCAAAAGAATGGTGAGAAATACTCAGATATTGTCTCTAAATTCTCTTATACTTTTTCAAAATAAACTGTACCCAAGTTCAGAACAACTGGTTATCATTTTAATGCCCAGTCAGTCAAATCTAGTGACAAACATCACACAAATTATTATTTATACTTCCTCCAACTTGTCGTGACATYTGCTGGAAGTGGTATGTTGCTTTTAGAAAAGATTCAAACCTTACCAGTCAATCAGGCGGTGTGGTCAGATGACAGGAAATTACTCAATACAGTGTGAAAGAGTTTTAAAAAAATAGATAAAAACCCAGAAATACTTTAGTTAACAGGTAGTTTACTGATTATTGACTTGACAATGAAATTTATTTGTAAAAATCTAGCTATTCAGGAGAACAGAATAGATATGTTTTCATTTTCAGTTTTACATGAGAATAAATGAAGCTGGGAGGCGATCAGAAACTTTTATTAACATTTGGATCCAAAACGAACGACACAGCTGATCTGTCAGGACTTGTAAARCAAACAGTTGCTGAGGGCAGAAGTTTCTCATTGCTTTGGATGTGAAAATATTCACCTCAAACAGCCCCTGGCAGATCGGACAGTTAAAAAAACAAAAAACAAAACAAGGAATAAAATAAGATTTATGCGGATTTTGGTGATGTCCGGTTTAAATAGAGTTGTTGTTTTTTTCAGTCTATAAAAAAACGTGACAGATATCAGAGTTCAGACCACATCCTGAAAACAGAACCTGCAAAACCAAAATATATTACCATGTTTCATAGCTTTACCTACCGACTTTATTTCACAACAGTCCCTAAAACTTCACAACAAAAAAAAAATAAGCTTTATATCTTTACAGGGCTAAGTCATCCTCTATATATATCCTGCATTTCAGAGTGACACAGAGCTGAAACAAGTAAAACACGTGGATAATAAAGGTCTTGAATTCCTAGACTAACCTTTAAAATAATTTTATGTGCAATCTCATTCAATTACATTACATCAATGACGGCAGACGTCTCTGTAAACCAGCAGCGGGATTTCAACTTTAAACTAAAAATAACTACAATCAGAAAAAGAAAATGTTGCGGAGGTGGCAGAGAAATGTTTTACATCAGGAGAAAAAAAAAGGCCGAACAACAGTTCTGTTTGGTGTAAACATACCAGAGGTGCTACAGTCTGACCCATCTTTAAAAAAAAGCCTCAGAGGGAACGATCAGTGCCTTATTAACAGTTCTCATTATGGYTTTTTACAGTATTTATGTACATTTATCACATTAAATTTTTAACAGCAGTAAGAAGTTTTCTGCAGCAGTTCAACTTTCTGCTCTGCAGTCGTCCACCCCTGAGTTTTGAACTTGTTGCATTCGGCCGTTAGTTGCTCTGGTACGCTACGTTGGTAAAAGTGGAGGTGGCTCCGACGTACAACGGGTTGTTCGCCTGAAAAACACGAACGTGGAGATGATTCTGTTTAGACTTCTACGCCTTTAAAGGAGTCGATTTAAAGCTGGATTCCTGTGTTTCCATCGTTTCTCACCGTGTCCCATTTGGCTTTGGCTCGCTCCTCCTCAAACTTGGCGAACTCTTTGCGGTCGTGGATGGTGATCAGCAGCTTCCAGATGAGCAAACCGACGAGGCCCAGCAGCAGGATGGCTCCAGCCACCGCCAGGAGCACCACTAAGATGTTAGGACCCTCGGGACACTCTGAGGGGGTGGGGAATCACAGTCAGGGAAAACGTGATAATAAGACTTTTTTAATAGAGTGAAGTGACGTTTCAGCAGTGGTGGGCACCAGTCCACTAAAGCACAAATCCGCTAATTGCGGACCTAAATATTTAGTTTGCGCTTTGGCAATCTTACTAATTTTTATTTTTCATTAGCAGATTTGCGCTTTCTAAAATTAAAATGCAGTACCACTAATAACTAATTTTCTACCAGTCATATTATCTTGAACAGCAGAAGGTAAGGCTGTCAAAGAATCACAACACACGTGATCTAACCCAGTGGTTCCCAAACTTTTTATCTTCTGACCCACAAAATATCCATGGCAAAACCTTGTGACCCCAACTATTACTGGTCTGAGTACACGAACTTTGTTAATAACCCTAAAAACACAGGCTTTTTGACAATCTAAACAGCTTATACAAAATATAAATACTTATTTATACTTATTTTGTGTTTTTGTAATAATTATAGGGAAAATATTACATCATCAATTGTTTTATTATCCTTTAAATTGATTTCTGGAGATTATCCAAGGTGCTTCATGACCCATAATTGGGTTCCAAGCCCAACTTCAGGAAC